CTTCAATGTGAACTTCTTAAAAGTTTACTTTTTATGCAGCAAAATAAATTTAAAACACAAAAAAGAAAAACCCCAGATTTAACAGAAGGAGTTTAAAAATTAATGCAACATATGGTAACATGTTTCCTATTTTCTAATATAGTAAATATAAATTTTTTAGATTTTTGATTTTAGAATTTAAATTATTTTTAGATAAAACAAATGGTGTGTATTGTGAAATAAACTTTGTGTAAAATTATAAATATTTATTAATGATAAATCATTCTATATTATTGCTGCTGCTCACCATTCGTGCGCCTTTACACAGACTTTTTTACCATACTTGGCCTTTCAGTTTTATTATCTCACGCAATGAGGTACTTTCAAATCTTAAAGATCTGTCAATATCTGCCTAATTAGTAATGAGATCAACTTTGCTTCATCAGCTTAATTAGTGATAAGATCAACAATTTTTTTTAATAACTTCTGTTGTAAAGGATAAACCTTATGTTATTTTTGAATTAGTAAAGTAACTTTTAAAGTCAGGTGATTTATTTAATTCATGCATTATAATAATAACGCAATTCAAGTCCTTTGTCAATTGTATTTAAAGTATATTAATCTGTAATTTTTAAATTAGAAGGCGATGATGACTCAAGAAAACGTTGCTCTTTTCAAATGCAAGAGGTCAAACTTTTGATAAAGTTAGTGCTTATCTTCAAAACCCTTGCATCTCACACGGTCAACTCGATGTTACATGTTAAAGAATAAGATCGTTTAATACCTTATTTAAAAGAAGTTACAAAAAAAATCCGTTTGCTTTTATATAAAAAACCAGATCGTTTGATCGTTTGTTTTTGCAAGTTGTTAAACATTTATTACAAGGTATGTCATTAAACAAAAATAAAGTTGTGTTTGTAAAGTTTCTAATTTATATATTTTTTTCAATTTATATATTTATTTATATTTGTGCGTTATTTATTATGTGTTTAAATGTGTTAAGGTTATAAGGGTTATTTTGTAAGTGTGTAAATATCTTTTATATATGAAATGTTTCTATGTTTGTGATGTTTTATAATGTTAAGTGTTTATAGTTTGTAAGTAATTATTATGTTGTTTGCATGGTTTCAAATTGTTATGAATTACAGCGAGATTGTTTACCTTGCTGGCCAAGTGGTGTACTTTGCTATAATGTGTTTTTGTTGAGAGCAAAGTCACATGTTAGCAGTGCTTTCTTAGCCGACAGGCCTTTTAATTTTTTAATTTGCTATATTTATGAGATCTAATATGTAAAAAAAATTTTTTTTAACTTGCTATATATGATAGAGTATAATAGATTATTGTATTATGCTCTGTATTATTCGCTTACACCTTATTTTAGATAAGTTTAAAAAAGAAAACTCAAAATTCAACTTTTATTATATTAGGCATTATTTTTACACACTCCTTTGATGCCTAATTATGTCTGATAATTTAAGAAATGAAATTGTTAGACTTCGTTGAAATGAAATAAGGCAAGCTTGGCGAGCTGAGATAAACCGCCGTCGAAATGAAAGATATGAGCCCAAGCGAGCTGAGATAAATTGTCGTCAAATTGAAAAAGATAAGCGCAGACGAGCTGGAATAAACCGATGTCGTAATGAAAGAGATTACCCCAGGCGAGCTGAGATAATCGTTTTATTATCTCTGAATTAAAGTGATAATTGGGGACATTGTAAGTACATATTATCATCTAATATGTACTTACAGTGTAAAAGAACTTAAAATTCAGTTATTCACTTTGTATGTTCTTTATCGATGTGTCCATATCTGGTCAAGAAAACATTAATATATTTATTAAAAGAATCATTTTTGTTATAAATTAACGTTTTACTATATATGTATTTTTTGTTTTATTTATTTTTATAATATTACCTTAATTATCTAATGATGATAAAGTTATTTTTCATGTTTAGCTGCAAATATTAAGTATTACAAACATTTTAAATTTAGTTGTTATTTTATTTCTTTAGTTTTACTTTGGTGCTTTACCGACTATCATAAAATTACTTTGTCTACTGTTAAAATATGGTTTAAACTTAGTAAACTTTAATTATTTAAAATTTACTATATTGATCATTAGCTAATAGTTTTAAAATAAACCTGTTTGTTGCAATTAAGTTAAAAATATTTTTATTTTTTATTCAATTTACATATTTTGTTTGCACTGATAGCTGTTAAGTTTTTGTTATTTTGTGTTATAGCTAATTATTTTGGCATTTTCTTTTCTTTCAGATTTTGACTATTAACAATGCTTTAGAAAAAACATCAGCAACAGATAAATTGGTTTGTAGTGTTAATAAGTAATGTTTTTATTTTTATCATATCATAGTTTTTTTTTTTAATCATAGATATATCTAACAATGCTTTTTCAGCATATTTCAGAACAAATAGAGAGACCCTAACCCACATCTCCTAAGGTAGGGGCCCAAGTTTAGGGCAAAAGCTCAACCCTCCTTTTGTGTGTGGATCCTGCTGAAAGTAAAATATGAGGAGATGGAGAGCGGTGGGAAAATAATACGCTACATCTTAGTAATTTTTATAGTTGGTTAATCTACCAATTGTTAATTGATGATGCAGATGCAGTTAAATTTTTTTCTGCAAATATAACTTTTCTTTACATTTTTGTTTTGTTATTTTGTATAAATATATAGTAATTGTAAATGATAAAACGTTTTTATATTTAATGATGTTTATAAATGTTTGTTTTTTTTTTCTATAAATAAAAATGTGTAATGTTTTGTATATAAATTTTGTTGAAAAGGTTTCTGCTTTTTTTTATTGTTAAAATGTCATATATTTTGTTTCCTTCTCTAATGTTTTACTAATGGTTAATAAATAAAGGCAAAACGGAGATACGTCGACTGAGGGTTTAGGTTTGGGCAGGCATTCTTTAAATTAAAGAAAAGAGTTTTAATATTTATTTAAATAGGGTTAATAAAATATTTTAAACTATATTTAAAAAATTATAAAACTAAATTGCATAAGATTTTTAGATGAAACAGTCAAAATAAATGTTTAAATACATGCGTGCAAATAATTCCTATCCTAAACTATTTAACTAAACTAAATAATTCCCAATGCTAAACGTAAAAAAAATGCTTACAAACGCCAAAAGTATGTTTGCCGTTAATAAAATTAAGTTCAAAGATAAATGGTCTCAACAGTAAGATGTATTTTTGATTATTTTTATTATAAGTTGGGATGAAAAAAAGGTTTTTTTGTCGCTATTAAATATAAGTCATGTTAAGGGGTAAACAGATTCATGTCATGTTAAGGGGTAAACAGATTCTATCTGTTGACCAGCCTCGCACCCCTTCCTCATCTATTAGGCTGGCGCAGATGTATTTTTAATACATTGTTTCCAGTTTAGGATGTTGAACGCTGGATCTTCTTGACTCAATGCGTGGGTATTGCTTGTGTCTCTATTTTTATGACTGGGCAACTCATTCTATTATCTCCTAATGAGGGTACAGCTCTAAAACTCAGTTTTATGGTTCTGAGGCCGGCTGGTAGTCAGGTTTCCCGAACTCTGTGGTAGCTCTCAGAGAGGCTGATTCCATCAACAGCCGAAAAATATCAGAGTACTAACAGTGCCATGTTGCGCATGGATGGTGTCCCTGTTTGTACTTTTGGTGTGCATTGCAGAGGCCACATTTGGAGCCCTTTGTTACGGCTTAGGGTTTATTAATAGTAATGAGGCTATTGCTTAGTTGTTAAATAGTGTACTGAGTACTATCTATACTTGAGTCAAGTTCTTTATAAATTTAAAATGACCAAAGTACCTAAAACTAAAAAACACAAAAAACCATCATCATCACCAAGTTCTCTAAACCTATCATTTACTAATATTCGTGGTCTTCGAAGTAACTTTTCTTCTGTTGAGTCTTATCTCTTGCAAAGTTCATCAGACCTACTTGCTCTTTGTGAGACTAATTTGAGTTCGGCTGTCCCATCTTGTGATCCTAGTGTTGATGGTTATCTTCCTTTAATTCGTAAAGACTCCAATAATCACATGCTTGGCCTGGGCATCTACATTCGTAAGAACTCACCCATTTGTCGTGAAACTAGGTTTGAATCTACAGACTATTCATTTATGTGCTTTCGTTTAGCACAACTTCACTCTATCGCCTTTCTCTTTGTTCTATATCGCTCTCCTTCATCCCAAGATTGCACTATTCTTGATGTTATTTCTGATCAAATTGACCAAGCCCTCTCTCTTTATCCATCGGCCAATATCGTCGTTGTTGGTGACTTTAATGCCCATCACACCGATTGGCTTGGCTCTAGTGTCAGTGACTCTGCTGGCGTTAAGGCCCTCAACTTTTGCCTTTCTCAATCTCTAACTCAAATAGTCAACTTTCCAACTCGTTTTCCAGACAACCCTAATCATTTACCTTCTCTACTCGACTTATGTCTTGTTTTGGATCCTAGTCAGTGCTCAATTTCTCCACATTCACCCTTAGGTACTTCTGATCACGGTTTGATCTCTCTAAAACTATTATCAAATTCTTCTACTTCATCAGAATCCCCCTATCATCGTACCACATACAACTACCTTAAAGCTGACTGGGACTCTTTCCGTGATTTTCTTCGTGATGGCCCTTGGGTAGAAATCTTTCGTCTTCCTGCTGACAAATGTGCTTCTTACATAACTTCGTGGATTCAGGCTGGCATGGAATCTTTTATTCCCTCTCGACGATTCCAGGTCAAGCCTCACTCTTCTCCTTGGTTTTCCTCACATTGCGCTGCAGCAATTTCTAATCGAAACCGTTACTTCCATATCTATCAGCAAAACAATTCTCCAGAAAACAGACATCTGTTCACTATCGCCAGAAACCATTGTAAAAAGGTTTTGTCTGACGCCAAAGCTCGCTATTCCCAGGTCATTAAATCTCGTATCTCATCACAAAAATTAGGCTCTCGAGACTTCTGGAGAATCTTTAACAGTATCAATAATAAGGGCAAATCTGTTATTCCTTCTCTCTTGTATGGTTCAGACTTTGTCACCTCACCTAAAGACAAAGCTGAATTGTTTGCTAAGAACTTTTCATCAATATCATCTCTCGATTCCACTAGTTGCGTTCTACCTGACATAGCCGTCAAACAGGTTGATCCCTTGCTTGACATTCGCATCACTTCAGCTTCTGTATCAAAAGTAATTTCCTGCTTAGACTCTTCAACAGCTTGTGGTCCTGACAACATTCCTGTTGTAGTCTTGCAGAAGTGTTCTCCGGAGCTTTCATCCATACTTTCTAAACTATTTAACAAGTGCTTATCAGAGTCTTGTTTTCCATTATGCTGGAAAGCAGCATCTGTTATCCCTATTTTCAAAAATTCCGGAGAGCGATCTGATTCATCTAACTACCGTCCCATTAGTCTACTTCCTGTCATAAGCAAGGTTTTTGAATCTTTAATCAACAAACACTTAATCTCTCATCTTGAATCAAATAACTTACTTTCTGATCATCAATATGGATTTCGGTCTTCTCGTTCTACAGCTGATGTGCTAACAGTAATAACCGATAGGTTTTACCGTGCATTAAATAGAGGTGGAGAGGTTAAGGCTATCGCACTTGACATTTCTAAAGCTTTTGATAAAGTTTGGCATGCTGGTCTTCTCCATAAGCTTTCTTCTTATGGTGTAGCTGGTAACATCTTTAAGATTATTGAGTCCTTTCTTTCCAATCGTAGTATAAAAGTTGTCCTCGATGGACAACACTCTTCTTCACATCCTGTAACTTCAGGGGTTCCTCAAGGTTCAATCCTTGGCCCTATACTCTTTTTAATTTACATTAACGATCTTCCAGATATTTTCACATCTAAGGTGGCATTATTCGCTGACGACACTACCATTTTACTCTTGTCATGATAAGAAGCCTACACTCTCTGATTGCTTGGAGGGGGTATCTGAGCTTGAAAAGGATCTCACTTCTGCTACAGCATGGGGCTCACAGTGGCTGGTGAACTTTAATTCAGATAAAACTCAATTTTATTCGGCCAATCGTTATCGTAATAATTTAGATCTTCCTATATTTATGAATGGTAATGTACTAGATGAGTCATCTACCATTCATCTTCTAGGATTAACTCTTACTTCTGATCTTTCTTTTAAACCGTATATCAAATCCATTGCAAAATTAGCATCTGCTAAGGTTGCATCTCTTTATCGAGCTCGACACTTTCTTACTCCAGATTCTATTCTCTATCTCTATAAATCTCAAATCCGTCCCTGTATGGAATACTGTTGCCACATCTGGGGCGGATCTTCTGGTGATGCTCTTTCTCTTTTAGACAAGGTGCAAAAACGAATTGTAAACATAGTTGGACCTGCTCTGGCAGCCAATCTCCAACCTTTGTCACATCGTCGTAATGTTGCTTCTCTTTCTCTTTTCTACAAATACTATAATGGGCACTGCTCTAAAGAGCTAGCGTCCCTTGTGCCATCTACTAAAATTCATTCTCGTGTTACTCGCCATTCAATTAAGTCTCATCCTTTTTCTGTGACTGTTCCTAAGTGCTTCAAAAACTCTTATTCTTCTAGTTTTTTTCCTCGAACATCAGTTCTTTGGAATTCGCTTCCTTCATCTTGCTTTCCTGATTCATATAATTTGCAATCTTTTAAGTCATCAGTCAATCGTTATCTTGCTCTACAGATTTAGTCTTCTCTCTTCCAGTAACTTCCAACTCTTATAGTGGTTGCTTGCAGCCTTGTTGGAAGTGAAGATGTTAAAAAAAAAAAAAAAAAAAAAAAAAAGTGCATTTTGAGCTAAAAAAAATATCATTCACATCAACTTGATCAATATAAATATGTGTTGCAACAGTCACTGATGCCATATTATTAACTTAAAAAATTAAGTTTTTAAATAAACTAACATCATCAGGCATGTAAAATAACAACTTAACTTTGTACAATAGCCAATCGAAAATTCGTCCATATAAATAAATACATTGTTTCAAATAAAAGCCTTTGACGATTTTCTGAATTATTTCGCTGTGGTAAAATAATTATTATATGTGATGAGTTTTAGCATTCTGAGTAATATTCAGAATGTTATAACTAACTTTAAAAACTATCACCTGGTAAATTTAGTAACATGTTCTTAATAAGTTTGAATTACTTTTCTTTGAAAATAATTTCGGATAACAATTTAAAAACTGCATATAAATAAACATAAGATAGTCTTGCTTGAGTTTAGATGGACTTGAGATAACTTTGAATGTTTCTTAAAACTTTTTTTTTTTTTTTTTTGATATTTGAATTTTACTCATAGAGTCAAAATTTAATCATTTTTGGCCCCATACATTGTAAGATATTTTTTATTCACCTAAGGAGTATTTTTAACCAAAAATGGGCTTAAGATATTTTTGCTTTGCAGCGACGATATATCTATATTTTTATTATTTTTTCAACTTTAATTTATACTTTTGTCGTGATACGGGAATTCTACGAAACTCTTTTTGATAATAGCTTGTTAGGAAGATTTTAAACTTTTCCATATAAATTTTTGTTTTATAAAATAAATTTTATGTTTTTTAGCTTTGTTTTTTAATGCGACCTTATGTATTCATAAAGATTAAATACAATACAATGCATAGTTGGCAATACAATCATGCTGGGC